TACACCACAAAACGTCAAAACTGACAGCTGTCATTTTCTACCAGTCAAATCTCGTGTGATCTCACATTTACATGAAAGTAGGTAGTTAGATGTAAAAACTAGGCTGCTATCGTTTCTAATACATTGTCTGAATACAATTGTGTGCTAATTACGTTGAGATCTTGTGAGAATGTGTGTGTGGTACATGACATAATACATACAACAAGAATTATGTATATATTTTAATTATTCTTGTTATGTTTTCGTGTAATTAATCTACTTCCATGCGGTGGTTTTGTTTGAAACTGTGATGTATTACTTAATTTTAAGTGTGAGAGCAAAATGGCGAGCTTTTTTTAATTTAGATACTGTTAAGAATCTTGTTTATTAAAAGGGTTATGTGTGAATAAATAAATGTATAGTAGAGAATAACACGGAAATTTATCAGGTAATTGGTCTTAAACCAAATAGGACCCGTACCCAAAGAAAGAGTGTGATGAAAGACGAAAGTAAATATTTTATTTATTACTTATATTGAAAAGTGTGCTTTGTTAGAATGATAGGTTCCTCGTGTGTGGCGTGAGTCATTAAAGTAGAAATTCGAGTGACAAGTAATAGTCGAGATCGTTAAGTCAATCGCATATTTCGACTTTATGACTTCTTATATTAGGTAAAATTTGGTTTAATAAAGTTAATGACAACTCAGAAAATTAGTATAAATGACGTTACGTGGTGGCTGCTTGAACCTTAAACAACAAATTTTATCACCCAACACTGGCAGTATAGTCGACAAGATCGTATTGGAGACTCGGTTGCCAAAGGAGAAGAAAAAAAAAATATTTTATTAGGTTAGATTTTCAATGTACTTAAAACTAAACAACACCACTCTCAGGAGTTTCACTGTCTTTTGTAATACTAGACAAGTAAGTAGCGTATTTACAACAAGAACTCTTTAACTCAATTGTAATAAAAAAATCAAGTAAATGTTAATAATAATTATAGCGAAAAATACCATCAGCCTCAATCAACAAAGTTAGCAACAAACTCTTACTAACAAAAAAATCCGCACGCTTTTTACATGCGCCTGCGCATCCATGTTAATTTTAATGTCGTGCGATGTTCTTGGAAAGATCGTCAAAGCGTGACTTATAGGCAGACGAAGCCGGGCCATTAGCATAGCTAGTCAGATTCACTGCACGTTCTAGTCTATGTGTACAATAATTAAACAGGGAATCTTAATTAATTAATCAATGAAAACTTGTTTTAAATGTATTTGAATACATGAATATTGTCTGAAAGATTTCGTATTCGTTTCATGTTTGCGACTTGATTCGAATGATAGATTGATGAAATGTTTGTAAATGAGATCGTAAAGTTTAAAATTCCTGGCAAATTGCGTCTGATGTACACCAATGTACAAATTAATGATTCAAAGACTTTTTGTTACACTAGCGCCCCTAGTCACACGATACTGACAGATTGAAAAATACTGACAGATTAATGTAGAATAAAAAAAAACGAGTTTTAAATACAATAAAATTACGCTTCACACCCGAAAAGTGAAATACAGTTGAGTTTTTGCCAATCGATATTGGTGCCAATACTCTCAATCCAAAACCCAGCAATGCAGACGAAGTTCTCGATATTCGATATCATTTTACCCAAAAAAGGACAAAACAGAATCCTCGTGCTCTTGTACACACTGTCTCAAAATTAAAGCAGTATTTCATTCAGTACCTAGGAAGGTAATTTATTAAACTAGATCTATACCGGCAAAGATACGAGTTAAATTTACAGCATTGATCAATTAATCAGCATCAGTTAATAAAACATTAATATCTTCCTAGAAATTATTTCCTAAATTTCATTTTCTTTTAATAATAAGTTGTAGTACATTAAATAGGATATCATGTCAATTATTTGACACGGTATGATAATCATCATTGGAGGAAGTGTTACAGATTAAGCCGTGAGGAAACTCTGATGGCTACTCACGTAACGTACTTGCGCTTGCGCTTCTGGTTTTCTATTTCTACATACTTGATGTAGTGGTCGGCTGGTTGTCTAGGAACTGAGGATGGAAGATCTTCGGTTGAAACCTTACGTTCGGTCAGCAAATCACTAAAAGATTATTGTAATAATCGATGGTTTTCAGTCTTCTGTTCTGCCTTAGGAAGCACTTACCTAATTGACCTCATGCTTCTGTTTATGCGGGATTACCATCTCTTACCTATATGACAAAATCCGAAATGTGAGGGCTTAGAGAATGCTTTTGTACTCGTTTCTATGATATCTTAAACATCAGGGCTTGTCCGGATAGTCCTGATCGATAATTCTCTATTTACAACGATATTTAAGTCAATCTACTTATGACATAATATAACATCACGCCTTTTATCCCCGAAGGGGTAGTCAGAGGTGTACATTACGCCACCGTACAATGTAACATCCACTTTTCACTATTAATGTTATGAGTCCCATGTAATAGGGGGTGAGTCTATTGCCATATACCGGGCACAATTCCAGACTCCGTGCTACTAATGAGATTTTTTTTAAAACCCAGTAATACTTTGTCCGATCCGGGAATCGAACCCGAGATCCCTTGCCCGGCAGTCGCACTTGCGACCACTCGGCTAACGAGGCAACTTATGACTGTGTAATATTTATACAATAAAATACTACCGACTCTATAAAGCTTGAAAGCAATATTCAAAGTTTACAAGACTCTTTAACAGACACAATAGAAAAAGAAAATAAAATAAATAAAAACAAATAACTGTGCAAGCAATCATGGACACTGATATTTGTTTTGTTGAACTCTTGGTCCAAATATTGGCCCAATAATGTCGATCACGATGACTAGTGAAATAAATAAAGAGTGAAATTCGAGTAACATTGTGTTTATAGACATCCGGTAATATTTTAAACAGATCATCTTCGCATAAATAATAATTGAGATATACGCATCCGAATATTTGTTGTTAGGGCAATAATATCAACAAGGATGACGCAAACGATGCTATAATTTTTAAGTCATGTCAAATTGATGTTTCATTGGTTCATAGAGAAACTAAGAATGCACTAGATTGATGCATATTTGTCGATTACTAAAACGAGCACTAAAATCATATACGACACAACTTGCAACACAATAATATTATGTGATCGAGATTGAGTGTTTCGATATCTTTTTACGAAAAAATAGGTTCTTTGATTAACGGCCTGCATCAATCGTTGTCTCAAGAGACTTCGTCCACTCGTTTTTCAACGTCCTTCATCAAAACCCTAGATTTAGAATAGTCTATTTGACAGATTTTTAAAATCCATTTTATATTATGTAGTATATTGTTTTATATTGTATAGAGTCTAAGGAACCCAGTAAAAGTTGCTTTTTTTATTCTGATATATATTAGCTGAAAAACATCGAATTAAAAATTCAATATTTAAATAGTGTGCCAAAATGCTACTTTAACAATATGGCGCTGCAATGACGTCGGTGACGTTACTTACCTGTTGTCTGTATTCTTATCTGTGACAGCTGGGATTTGTTTTGTATTTACAAGCAGGTGGCGTCATGATAAACTCGCCCAATCAGGAGTGTTTTGTGTCACGTGACAAACATTTAAAAAATGCAATAATTACTATTAATAAACTTATGTTAATATATGATCATTTTTTAACTCTTAATTTAAAATGTTAGCAGGAATTGACGTTTTATTTTTCGCATTGTCTATTCTTTTCTATTAAAATCGCTTCTTAATTTTGGACAGCAGCTTGCTAAATAATAGTTAGTGCGACTCAAGGATCGATTTTTATAAATATCAGCTTAGACATATACTACCACATAACCAAGGCGGCAGTCACAATATTTTCTTGTACCTAATTAAATTAGTCTCGGTATATAACAAAAACATTGAATATTTGCACGTGAACACGAACGCACACAAATCGTCTGTGTCGCGACTGTCACGAGAGTGACGTTTAAATTTTGACATTTTATTGATTTACTTTATTCCCGCCATTTATCCGGCTAGTTGACAGTGTCATTCATTCGTAAAAAAATTAAAACACGATAATTGGGTCTCCATTTTGTTTTATTGTTATAATCACAAAAGTTTTGCTGTTTCTAATTAATTTTATTTTTGTTAGTGATCTTATTGGTATGATGATTTATTGAATGGTTTTAGGATGTTTCGTTATGATTAATATGAATATGGCATCCATAATTACGGTGAGGTACAAAATACTCATGTGAATGTCTCTTGCACTCATCATCTGCAGTCGGAATACACCCACAGCTGAACAAAGACATCCATCTTAAGTGAAGGTTTACTATAACTATGCTAGCTGCTTAGGGACTCTTGCTCTATGAGTGGGAAATATTTTCACCCTAGTAACATAATGTGTAAAGTACAATGGTACGTTTTCTTCACAACACAATTTTCGATTTTTTGGAATTTTCCTCACTCCACTATTTCCGCTCTAAAACGCATTTTTGCATAATATAGGTAATCGTTACGTGCATAAGCTCTTATAACATCGTTGCGACAGTAGCGCCAGCTAATTTTGACAGCAAAACCTCTTGTTTATGGTTTACATTACCATTGTACAACCGTGTTATAGTTTTGTGCAAAATAATTACAAATTAATGTTAAAAACTATGTAGTGAATGGCTTCCGGATTCATTATTTTTATGATGGTACATTTTATTACTGGCTCGTACGTAATACTAGATTTGGTTAGAGCTATTACTCTAAAATTAACGTGGGATATTTTTGTTTGACGATAATTGTAATGTTGCACAATTACTTATGTACCTACCATTGGAAAATTTGAAGGAAATGCTTGTGGCCGTAAGAGTGTTCTGTTAAATAGAAGGTTATGTAAATATGTTAAGCTTTTGTTTTCATCTGCTATGGAGACGTTAACCACTTTACTAATCAATCTTATAAGCGATGTGGCAATTTTGGGTTATGTTAGGGTTTCATCAGTAAAATCATCATCTCAAAAATTATTGTAATTTCATTTAACAAAGTACTCGACATAAATCATATGCAAACATACCCAAGTTCACCTCCACTGTAGCGTGTAAACTAGAGAAATTACCATAATTACACAATACTACAAGTTTCTCGTAATTTTCACTTATTTTCGCGAGTTAAACCTCATTTGTTTAACGCGGAAACCGGTTTCGGATGTGTTATGGTACGATGAACGAACAGCTGTCAAATCAGCGACAATGCATAGCATGGGCGCGCGTTAATTTCCATCAACATTGTGGATCATCATATCACTTATGTAGGAATGGGAGAAAGAGCGAGGCCGGTGCCCGCGGCGGCAGTCGCTCCTCACGCGCAATTCGACATGGTCAACTGTACATAATTACGTGCACCGAGCGTATATCATCAAAACACAATTGCGCGTATCTGAACGCGGCGCGTCATTCGAAAAAAAAGAACTGTCAAATTTTCGCGCGCTTTTCGGTCCCATAGATAAAACAGATCATGATTTATTGGAACGTGTTTCGTATATGAAAGTGAATTAACATTTTTTTTAATTCATATCGTGTTGAAGTGAATGTGAAACTATCTATTACGTAAGAGTTTGAAAAAATTCTTCGGTGTTCAAGATGAATTTTTGTTGAATTCTTGTGTTTTGTTATGATGTTCATTAATGGATTTATTCGAAAAGATTAATTTATAAAATCGGTTCTTGGATTTTCATGTAATATCTGGATTTACGATGTTTATATTGCCGTATTCTGTTACACTTGTCGAAGAAGTTGATAAAAAAGTTTTTAATCAAAATATGATCGAAGTTGTGGCCTGTTTCTCATACTCTTCCTATTGTTTTTCACTTCTGTTTACATGTTTTCTTACAGGAATTGTTGTGACAATAGTTTGTTCATGGAGAAAACATGTGCATGGTTAGAAAAAGTTGGGAACCCAATCAAAACGTAGCATCATGAGTGTATGCGCATACTAATTGTTACCTTTCGTTTCTACGATAATTACTTAATTTGTTAGACGTGGTTTGCATAATAAGTAGTTACAATGATATTCTGCAAACAATACAGAGTAATTTTGGAGAAATTTCAAATGTTTAATTACTTAAGCTGGCAATAAATCCGCCATTTTTTGAGCCTACGCAAAAATATTACGAAATGTTTTGATCTTAATTAATTTTCGTAGTATGCAAAACTCTGAATGAATATTATTATGTACAATTTAAAATAATTTTGATCTAAATTCATGAATGGTAATGCCTTATTGATAGGTTTATGTTTTAATAAACATATTTTCATTTATTGCAAGGTCATTCACATAATTTTATGAGCAGATGGAATTTAGACCATTTAGCTAAATATATTCAGAGGTTTTAGCCTCGTAGGAAAATAATTAAGTGACGTTAGTTCATTAGCACGAACTGAAATATCTTCAGTAACATAATTGGGAGCACATATAAATATTGCCTGCCTGCCTCGTTGGCCGAGTGGTTGCAAGTGCGACTGTCGGGCAAGGGGTCTCGGGTTCGATTCCCGGGTCGGGCAAAGTATTAGTGGGTTTAAAAAAAATCTCAGTAGTAGCATGGAGTCTGGAATTGTGCCCGGTATATGGCAATAGGCTCACCCCCTATTACATGGGACTCATAACATAAATACTGAAAAGTTGGTGTTACATTGTACAGTGGCATAATGTAATGTGCACCTCTACCTATCCCTTCGGGGATAAAAGGCGTGATGTTATGTTGTATAAATATTTATGATCAAAAACAAATGAAAAACAGCAAATACCATATCAGACACTAGATCGATCTCCTTACCATCCATTTGACGCGTATAAAAACAAAATATTTTACATAATTTCCTAGTAGTTTGTCTGCGCTACATCGCTGTAGAGCTCATAACAATAAGTACCTACTATTTATTGCATTTGCATGCTACATGACAAAGAAAGCGCTTTACGCTGCAGAGCGAAACGCATCACTCGATGCATATTATAAAACGTAAATACCAAAAAGTATTTAACACGGCATTATAAGGAAACACTTCGTAAATCATTTTAAACTATATATAGTACTAGCAGCCCGTCCCGGCTTCGCACGCGTAGACAATTATTTATTTTTGGAAATTCGGATTGTAGTGACATAACTACAATAGTTGGACATATGCTACCGCGGAGTTTTTTGTAGACATTATGATGTTCTTCAATATTGTTGTACATTATTTTGTTCTATCGCCAATAGTTTCGGCAGCGCATTCGACGAAAGACATTTTAAGACTCATTTTTCTACACCTTCGGTTACATTGTTCAAATTTTACCAAGGATACCTAACTTTTTTTCAAAATGAACTGTAGCCTATGTCAAATTGGAAGAATGTAGCATTCTATTGGTGAAAGAATTTTTTAAATCGGCCCAGTACTTTTTGAGCCTATTCATTACAAACATACAAAAATAAGTACAAATCTTTCCTGTTTATAATATTAGTATAGATATAGATTTCAGTCATTTACTTTGAAAGTTATGAGTGTCATTTATTTGTTGTTTGATAGTGCTCTTTCCTAATTTTCTAACCGTTTAATAATACTTAGTAAAGTGTTTAGTTATAACTGACTACCTCGTCAGTCGAGTGGTCGCAAGAGCGAATGCGGGCCGGGCAAAGTTTACTGGTTGTTTTTTTTAGGTAATAATTCTCAGTAGTAGCATTGAGTATGGTATTATGGCAATAGGCTTACGCATCAAGGTATTCATAACATAAATAGTGAAAAGTGGGTGTTACATTGTACAGTGGCAGTAAGTGCCGTAATGTGCACCTCTGCCTACCATTTCGGATAAAACGCGTAATGTGATCTTATGTTATGGGTTTTTAATTGTGTATGCGATACATTCATAATAATATTCATATTAATTATAATTACGCGGGACTTATAACATAAATTGAAAAGGGGTCATTGATCTTATGTGCGTCTCTACCTATTTCTCCAGAGTCAAAAGAAAATGTTATGGTCATTTGAATCATTCAGCGTGAGATTGTCCTGATAGTCCAGAATAATAGCTATTGCCCGCGACTTTACCCGCATAGAATATGAATTGTATCACAAAACTTTTTTTTTGTTTTAATTTTACAAAATAATAGCAGCCTATGCTACCCCTTAGTACATCAGCTAGCTGCCAATAAAAGTCTTACAAAATCGGTCCAGGCATTCCAGAGATTAGCCAGTACAAACAGACTGACAGACAAAATTAGTAAAAATTATTATATTGGTAAATGTGTCGTATATATACTATGCATGTAGTAAGAAGCGTACAAATCAACACTCCAATTTTATTTATCTGTATAGATATCGCTTGTTCGTACTTAATTACGTCGTCCAGAAAATTCGGGAAATTTATTTTCACCCAGTATAGTTACTCGGTTTTGTAGATAACTATCTTTGTCATGATATATATAAAGAAGTAACTTTATAATTATTCCTAGGCAGTAAATTACATTAAAAAGAAAACAATAACAAATCTCCACGAGGAAATTAACATAACATCAAACCACAATTATAGTGCAGTTCCTAACAATTAATCGATGGTATATCGATATAAATAATCGGTAAAACATGTAGGAAGTCACAACTCGATTCGTGTTGTCGTGTATCGATTTGGTGACAGGCACTGGTCGCTAATGAAGAGTAATTTGTTAGTTTTTAAGACATTCAATCGAAATTAGCTCATGACTAATCGATTTCTGTATTTTGAGCGGCTTTAATTATAGTTTTTAGTAAAGGCGTTAAACTTTCGACAAGTTTTTATTGATTGGGGAAAGTAATTAATGTTTTGTAATCAATGTTTAGTATTGAATTTTGAGTAAAAGAAAAAATATGTTATGATTATGTATTATTATTAAGTAACCATAACATTATGCAACATACTTCACCAAATTGCTAAGGATTTATTATTATTTATAATCCAAAGCCTATAATTTCTTCTTAAATTATTCATTAATAAAATCATCAATCCAACTTCCACTTAGTGAAGATACTAATCATAATAACTACGCTTTCATTAAGAAGTTTCTACCGTTTAACCCAGATATTCGAAACGATTCACCAAGTATCGATTAAATAATCGATCACATCGTAAACATTTTAAATTAATCGTACATCATCTCGGCCACAACTCGGAATCTCTTCGTACGTGACTCAAAAATGCGACCTGCTTAGCGAGACGCGTTCGAGTTTACCAATTACGCAATATAATCGTAACAATAAGATGAGAATACGGAAGTGTAACAGAATACGGGCGTGTAACCAAATTAACCCTTGACTTGTAGGTAACAGTGATTTTCTGTGCTCTTACTTTAGTAGTGACAGTTAAATAACGAACAAGAACGATTGTGGGCGATGAACAATGCCTAGGGAACGTTCAGAAGACGGCGACTGTAACGCTATAGCGCGGCTCATCAAGGACTTCTGCAGTTGCTCTGAGAACGCCACCTGGTCGCCAGAGATGACATCAGACAGACGAAAAGGCCCACTGCTCAAGAGTGAACTCACAAACATGTCTGCGATGCGTCGAAGAATAATTTCCATTGCCAAAAGAAAAAACAAGGAAGTCCCAGAGCCTCAGAAACTGACCTACGGGACTACTTTCCAGAAAAATTCGGACACTCTCACTTCAAACTTGGTTAATACAACGATCAGTTCTCAAAGCAGTACTCTCAGGCGAAACATCGACAACTTCCTCCTGTCTCGAAGGATGTTCGCTCTCGAGGAGAACATTTACGAGAAACCAATTCAGGTGAAGACACCCACGTGCGGTGAGAACTGGTCTCTAAGCAAAGCGTGGCGGAACAACAACTCAGATTTCTTCAACCGCTCGCCTACCCTCGATTCTAACCGACTAATTGAGCGGAACTACACCCAACTCGAACGAATAGATGAGATCCCGCAGCGGAAAAAACGAAATAAGAAAATGAAGGAGCAATTGCGATACGATAGGAATATTAAGAGGCACATTCGGATACGTGTGATGTTGTCTTTACGGATGAGGAGGTATATGAAGAGGAGGATGAAGAAGCCTGGTTTGCAGGCGTCGCAGAATGTAAACGTGCCTCCGAGGAGGTTTCCGAGAGGGGCATCAGCGACGTCGAGTTTTGGGACCCGGTCTTATAGGAGTGTGATGACGGACAAGTTAGGGGATGGTGCTGTATTATTTGACATCTATGAAGCGAGGAACTCCACCATGGAGCTGTGCCACGACTACGAAGAGGACCTCGATACGCTACAGATTGCGTTACGCGCCGGTAACTTTAGGTAAATACTTTTTACAAGTTTTAAGATGTAAGATCTGAGAGTGAAAGTGAGACAGGCTGAATGACTAAGTAATTATTAACATTACTTGCGCGCCTCTTTACTTGTTTGGTCTCTAGAGTAATGATAAACAATGTTGTACTGAATTTTAGCGTTGTTTTGAATATTTTAAAAACAAAATATTTACAAATTCCTCTGTTAGTAATAAAACTGTTTTAAATGATCAAGTGTGCTTCTGAAAAAAAAAGCGATTCTGTGTAACTTACAACAAGCGAATATTTGTACAACTACTAGAGTAAATATTTAATAATATAAAATGAACATGTGTTTACGTAAAGCCTAACATAAATAAAATAAATCGTCACTACCGGTTGATTACTTCCTCAAAATCCAATTACAGATCAATTTGACAAAAATACAGTTATACACATAAACACAGATACTACTAAAAGTAAACTAAACAAAAATATGAGCCAGAATTCCGTACGTGATTCGTTGAAAGGTCACCATTTAGAAATTGTGCACAGGATGTGATGGGTGGTCTACCGTTACGGTGCTGTGGTGTCGTGTCCCCCATATTACGGTGACTAATACTCTAATACACATATATGAACTATTAACCACCATTGTGATAAAATATGAGTTCATTCGTGCAAAATTTAAACTTGTTTGCCTGTGGTACGATCACGTGAATTCCGTGCAAAGGACAATGTACAAAATAGCCCTGTGTAATAAAGAGTATCGGAATATACGATAATTAATCCCCTGTTTCATTATATAAGTTGCTAATACTTCTGTATCCTGGACTAGCTGTATTCCAAAATGTACTTTTTATAGAATTTAACGCGATATTATTACATTAGATCGCCATCTTCGACTAATGTCAAATGCCTTCGCCTAATGTAATGAATAATAATCGTCATAATAGGTAGTAACAATAATATTATGCAGTAATCAAAACTTCTTTACTTCTATGCAATCATTGTTTTCTGTAGCTATTCCGCTATATAAACAAGATCTTCTAGGAGTCTAAAAATGATAGGGAATACAATACATAATTATCCGATACTCTTGGCTCCAGGGCCAACAATGTATAGACAATGTATAGACAATTCCTTTGAACTTGTTAGCTTGTGTCATGATCAGCAGTGGCGTGCACAGGGTTTTAGAACAGGGTAGGCAACATAATATTGTGTTATGATTAAACTCATCGTAAATACATAACATAATTCAACTTATGAGGTTTTTAATCTTTCGTCAATTCTTTGTAACAGTGCCATCTCTCGTTGTTTTCGTGAAGTATTACATCAACTTATTGATTACTCTAACAACTTAAAAACATTAATATTTTATTTTTCTCTTTAGATTTGTAAAACTAATCTGCATAATTACCTACTCGAGGTGCTGTATAACGATTAATCTAATTTATGTTATCAATTCAGTAGCAGTAACGAATTGTTCATTCTAAAAATTGTACTGAACTGGCGGCCTGTCCAGCCTTCTCACGTTTAATACAAGAATATTACGAATTCTTTACTCTTTTAATTTAATTCTTCGAATTAATAAGTTTGGTTCATCTATTCAAGAGATATTATGATTTTAAGAACTTGGGTATGACTAATAGAAAAATCGAACCGAGCGCGGCCGGCTGCGGCCGAGCCGAGTAAGCGGTAGTACATTTTTTAGTATTATTAAACATTCATTTACCTAGCTTATTCTTCTTCATTTCATTTTATAATTAGTACATAACATATTACTTAAAGCTTCGTTATTTTTACTGACTGAGTTGCCGCGACGGGAAGCTCCGCGTAGGTACCTACTTATGTTACATAACCTAATCACATTAAAATAAAGTAACTTTCATAGAACTTACCAAGACAAGACTATCAGAAGAAAAACTCACACACAATCTAATCACTAAGCGATGGTCTGCGATAGTTTATAATTCTTTACCAACTTTTGTCAATACAAACTTCACAGTTCTTCGTATAACTTTGCAAAATCAATTAACAAATAAACAAACACAGTAATAAAATGTACTTATATAAATAGACAATTTTATACCGTTTACTACAAATTATTTGCGTAGAATTACTAATCGTATTCTAAATCAAATAACAAAATTATCCGAAAATCCACGCATCGCACGTAAACAAAAACAAAAAAATTGTCACGCGCGAGCGGCGTGAAGTTCGCTGCGAGGCGACCAATGAGTAAACCAAGACACGGAACGTGATTGGTCGGCACGCGGCGAACTCAATCACGAGTCGTCAGGCCGTGCCTGCAGGCAAGCTTCGCGACGATAAAATAAACGCGTCTGTGCACTACGCACACAATGACGTTCACCACTACACGCTTAAATTTATGAATGGTTTGCAGGCGACGGAACCGCGTGCCTGCCTCGCGCGTTAATGTTTACAGCTATATACGGTACGCCTGGCGAAATGCAACACGTATCGCGCGCCATCATTGTTGCTATACTATTTATTTTAGGCGTTCACTAATTTTATTATAATTATTATTTTAGTATTCTGTAGTAAAATTAAAATGTTTATATCTTTTATTACGTAGTGTTATTCACGGTATTTGTAAGGTAGGCAAAGCCTTTTTGCCTATATGGACTGCACGCCACTGATGATCAGTGCAAACTAATAACGGAAATGTTCGATTAAAATTAGTAATTATCTTTGATCCCTAATTGTTGAATGGAAATGGATAAGGCTTGTGAATTTCAGATGACTTATTTACCTCTATAAAACCGCTTATTCGTACATACAATGGCGAATTTTTAGAATAAAATAAATATTTTCTCGTTGTTGTGTTGGGTGGGGTATAGGCAGTGACGATTATACTCATTCGATCATTAATAAGTACAACTCAATTATTATTACGATTCACTTTTCACAATCAGTGTCACTACAATTGAGTAGTTTCCAGAGTATCAAAATTAAAAATCTAATTAGTCCGTCAGTTAGATAATGAAAAAATATTAGACACGTATTTCGTTATCGTATCGTATTAAGTTGCAATACTTAGATAAAATGGCGCTAAGTTTAGGAGTGTGGTTCGCTGTGACGTCATGCGATATTTCAAATTAATATATCGTCGCAAGTATTTAATTTTGCGAGAAAAGAAAAAATACTTGTTTAAATTAATGTACCAGACGAGACGGGCATTAAAATATAATTTAAGAAACTACCCTATTTCAATAGGAATTGAGTACATAAGATAAACGCCGGTCCTCTCCAAACCACTGTAATAAGTATATCGATTCATAGTTAATTAACCAGGTGCAATACAACAATAATCGCTTACACAATACATACTACATAGTAGACACTATGTACATAAGAAAGTAATATTGTATCTGTACAATGTACGTCGTAATGTCATTGACATCGTAATAATATGGCGACTCATCAAGCTATGCAGGACCAGTATAACGTGACCGTCGAATGGGCTGAAAGCTCATACAAAGCGAGGTTACGATAAATTGGTTTTGTATACCGCGATGTGTTGTTGTTCAACCTGTAATTAGTTTGTGTTTGTTATATCAGAATGCAGTTTCTAATCATTAATTTTATTTGCTTTTACTAGATATAAGATAATCTAGACTTCAATATAACTTGATCGTTGATTTTGGCAATTAAAATATTTATATTGAAATTGTTTTGACTGCCTCGTTGGCCGAGTGGTCGCAAGTGCGATTGCCGGGGAAGGGGTCTCGGGTTCGATTCCCGGGTCGGGCAAAGTATTACCTACTGGGTTTTAAAAAAAATCTCAGTAGTAGCACGGAGTTTGGAAATGTTCTCGGTACCTATATGGCAATAGGCTCAACCCCTATTACATGACATAAATAGTGAAAAGTGGGTGTTACTTCTGTGTGCACCTCTGCCTACCCCTTCGGGGATAAAAGGCGTGATGTTATGTTATGAAATTGTTTTCTCGTTTCACTTTTTAGGATTTTAAAACAGAGTAATTATAACGCAATAATATACCTAATTAATGTTGATTTTATATCTTTTAAAGATTTACTAGTTAGTGTGATAATGACTGTTTTTCGGGCTAGGTATCTACATATCGATTTTTTTAAGTCTCAATTAAATCTAGATCACGTAACACTTCATAAAATTATTTTTTCTTTTATTTTAAAAACGTTGCCCCACACTAGGATTTTCTCCTGTGTCGTGGGTGCGTTTACAAACATACAAGTTCACATACACAATGACACCCAGACGTTGTCCTGCACATGATATTTCAAGCGATTAAAAAAGTATGAAAGGATAGACCAATAGCGCCATCTGCCGGGCTGATTTGTGAATTTAAACCATCCAGGGTGCCACTCAAACGCATACAGAAAAATTCATTTAAATCGGTCAAGCCGTTTAGGAGGAGTTCAATGACATAGACACGTACAGCAGAATTATATATATACTAGCTGTTACCCGCGGCTTTGCTCGCGTCACAAAAGGATAAAAAGTAGCCTATGTGACATATACCCATATATACAGCGCCATCTATACCAATAATTTCGTTTTCCCTCGAGAATATCAAATTTTTCCTGGATAAAAAGAACCCTATTATTTAATCCAGACTTCTAACTTTACGTCTGCAAAAATTCAAAGCAATCGGTTTAGTAGTTACGGCGTGAAAGCGAAACAAACAAACTCACTTTCCGATTTATAATATTATAGTAAGGATAGATGTGTATACACATTATATACTATACTATAGTGCGATCTTAAACCCAGAGCATAGCATTGATTGCCGCGATGGAAAGTCAATCGAGTAAAACAATGTCTTCGGGTGTTGTGAAATGTGCTAGTTGTAATGTGGTGATCAACGAAATACTTGCTTTTATCTGTAATAAGATAGATGTGATGGATGAAGAAAGTATAAGCCGAATCTGTGTCAGTGCTTTCTCGGAAAATGATATTCTGAAAGCCAAAAACTTGTTGTTCGATTCCGTTACGACAACAAAGCAAAAGAAGATACGGAAAAAACAAGGCAAAACAATACGTAATATTGACGATATAGTATGCCTATTGAAAGAGACTGACCCTGAGGATATTCCTATTTTTGTGGCACGGGACCTGCAGAAGTTACCTCCAGTACTTTTTGACCATGTAGATGTAACTAGGATACTGAAGGATATTGTAAAAATGAGAAGTGACTTAGACCGTATTTGCGAAGAATATGCTACATTGGAACAGATGAAGAACCTGCGGGTGGAGGTAGAATCTCTAAAAAAGTTCTAGACCCTCAGATTCCACAATCCCTCCTCGCTTTACATGCATGACCGCACACTTGTCTACTCCAAACTCCATTCTGATGGAACTACTAAATTTTTCAGTTATATTCAGTAGTTCCATCAATTGTTTCTTGTTTGGAGCAAACAACTTGAGGTCATCTATTTAAAGTAAGTGGGATATAACTAGACCCCTCCTCCGCAAAGGATAGCCTAGCCCTGAATCACCCAGTAGAGTACTTATTATTATTATTATTATAGCAGCAGATTGCTTCTAATGTTTTTAAAAGTAACAATGTACGAAGCGAGTAAACCAAAAAATATACCTACAAATTGTAAGGTAATTGGACGTATTTCGATCATGACGATGCAAGACCAACAAATACCTATCACTATTAAGGCATTGTATTGTGTTGTATCGAAGATAGGTATTATGATCATTGTAATTGATGTCTGGTGATCATTTTGAACAATGATGAAGCATTATAGTTACTGCATTTTTATTATTATTATGAACTAGCAACTTTAACCCGCTCCGTTCGGCTCCTATGGGACATAGCGTGATGTTATATAGCTTATAGCCTTCCTCGATAAATGGGCTATCCAACACAGAAAGAATTTTTCAAATCATACTTGTACTTACGGAGATTAGCGCGTTCAAACAAACAAACAAAAAAACAAAGTCTTCAGCTTTATAATATTAAGTATAGATAAAGTTTATGTATAAGATATAAGATGATAATAAGATTTTTTTTTTGTTTCGTAAAGTAATTTCATGTCACATGATAGAGTTCAGTTTGTTGGTTTCATATCTGAATCGAATACAGTTTTATTTATATTTTCGACTTATTGAACTTTGCACATATTCACTCCTTTCTTTTAAAATGGAACTGTATAACTTTATGTTTTTCGACATATACTTAAGTACTAGTAATAGGCTCACCCCCTATTACATGGGACTTATAACATAAATAGTGAAAAGTGGGTGTTACACGGTACAGTGACATGAATTAAGTGCCGTAATGTGGACCTCTGCCTACCTCTCCAACAAAGTTATATCAAGCCTCAAACCTATTAAAATGAAATAACTGACATTTCAATTATTTTTGATTGATCATATTTATTTATGCAATATGCATCTTTCCGGAATCCATTATCTGAATTAGTCGAACATATCAAAAATCCATAATTTTTAATTTATACATGGAACAGTTATGTTTTATTACGATTTATAATGATTTAAATGTCAAATATTGTGTTATGATGTGATCTAATTCTAGTCTATTTGAGAACATCCTCGAACTAACGAAATTAATTTAATTCTTAAAATGTCAAAGTCAATCCCTTGTCACGGTTTGATTAATGTGAATGAATTAATTATTCTATTAATCAAAACAATATATTTAGCATTTTCATTATGTGGTTTAAAACAATTTTTTTATTGAATAATTCCTTTATCATAATATAAAACTATAATATAATGAGCAGCGCCATCTGTTGCTGAGTAGACAAACTAGAAGCCCGTGTCAGTGCTTCGTGCGCAAAGATGGTGCGCTCACGTGAACCAATAGAATAGTTCAGCTATTACCTGATAGATGGCGTTGTGATCTGATACTTTAATAACACATGTCTTTCATTCTGTGTAAGAAAATAATGCAATATCTTGATAATTTGATAACCTACTAAGTCTTTGATGTAGGGAAATTTCATATAAGTTTTTAACCTTCTGTTTTTTCAATTTTAGGTTCGTAAAATTTTATTAAACTAACATTATTGAACCTTATTTTCACAACTATTTGTATTTAACCCTTAACCGGAATCGGTAAAATGTTCTACATTACTGGAATCGTGGGTCCAATCGGACCCAAGAATTAAATTCCTTATTTTATTCTAAAATGTTGAATTTTCCACTTAGGTAAGTTAACGTCATAATTGAAACAAGTTTTAAGTAATATATTAATCAACTTTTATTTATTAAAATGTGGAAAATATCCCATTTATTGTACTTTATATCTTAGGTATTAAATTTGGTAATCTTTTTTTAGTGTCGTCTTTGACCGTCTAAAACAAAAATAAAAACAAAATAAAAAGCAAATTTAACACTTCTAAGGGGTTTTCCGTGTCTTCCCCTTAACAAAAACATAAATTATTTGTGAGATCAAATTAAACTAAAAAAAATGACAACCTATTCTTTTCTAGAGTACAATTCTACAAACTATTCTAGAGCTGCTAGGTGGTGTCTAAGTGGTATACACTTAGGTATATCTATTTTTTCCTCTGAAGTAAGTGTTAGACGACAATGAAGTATCATCCTAACTTTTTTCTTCGACATTGTGGGCAGACGAAGACTCACTTGTGTGATCAGTGGCTCCATGCTCCGGATTTTCATTGTCACTTATGTTTTCCTCAAAAGGGTTCAAAATCGCTCAAAAGTTCTGATTCTAATTCAATTTCATCTAGCAATAGGTCCTGGATATATTTTTCCGGCATTTAATGCGCCATTTTTCCAAAAAAGTGTCTAATACAATAATATAATAAATATAAACACATTGAAAAAAAGTAACGTAACTGGAATCGTGGGTCCGATCGGACCCAACGATGGCTCAAACTTACACTTCCAGTGAATTTAAAGCACCGAGTATCCACCACCCGCTGCATCTAGCGACCTTATGAGATTAGGTAGGCGCGCAATAGTGTTGGTGCGCGCGTTTCGAAAATAAACGCTTTTTTCATCGACGTCGGGTCCGAACGGACCCACGATTCCGGTTAAGGGTTAAGTCTAAAATTCTACGTCAATTTGTTCATAATTTTATAATATTTATCTATCTTTCAGGAGCGGTCGTCTAGCTGTCGAGGGTTGGTGGTGCGGGCGCGCCATGCCGGGCGCTGGCGGGCGCGCCAACAATGGCGCCCTGGCGTTACACTACGCGGCCGCACGAGGGTGCCTCGACTGCGTGCGGTTGCTAACCAACACTACGCCTGATGTCTCGTGAGTATACTTTAAAGTATTTGCGTGATTACAGTGCCATCTATGTTTCATATGGACTACGAAGTTGACGATGTTTGTATGAATTTTTAGTGCAGAAAAACGCTGATTATTTGAATGACCGATAGTTTTACTTAAGTTTCATAAGCAAAACTATATGTATAGTGTGCCTTCTCAGAAAGAGAATAAGTATTTTTAATATTTATATAACTGTGATAATGATCATTTACACCCGTAAAATTTAAACACAACAAACCAATAATTCATATCATTATACCGCCTTCATCTCATTCAGGTCAAACGCAGACGCAAAATAAAAAAATGACAATTCACCATAACAATCATGATAAAACAGAAACATTGACAATAAATCTTTAGCCTAATCTCTCTTGTTAGATGATAGAAGTCATTTAGATTGATGCAAGACATTCTATTAAGTTGGCAATAAAACATGCGCACGAGTCTCATTAAATGGTCACACGTCATTGCGCATGTGCAACAGATCAGGTGCAACTGAGCGAGACTTATCTGTGCTCGACATGTTACGAGTGCTCGAGTTTATTGAGACCATTTTACTTGGAGACTATAAAAAAAGTTTATGATCGTATGTATTATTGGGATTCCACGTCATGTTTTGCCTTCCGACCGAGGTTTCAGGATTTTTTTTAAGGCGGAAACATCATCGAATTACTTCTCCCGCCTGGGTGAGGCGGGAGGGAGTGTCAGACTCTTACTGACTAAAAACCACCCCGTTCCTTCTCCTGCACGTCGAGCCGGAGCCCCGGTTACCCGTTAGGTTCTCCGCGACTCCGAATCGGCATCGGCCCTATTGGGCCCCATCTGTGGTGGTCTGATGGCTCTTTGAGGCGCGCGCGGAACGCGACGCGCCGTACTCTCGAGGTTTCAGGATGCGTCATGGTCACATATACATGACATAGCGACCCGGCTCAAAAAAGGAGTAGGAATGGGGTGTTTTTAGTTAGAGGGAGTGTTTACCCTGACACTCCTTCTCACTTCACCCTGGATGAAGGGTGTAATGCGTTGATTTCCCACCACAAAATAATAACATATTCATTCTTAATTTAGATTACAATGACAGGATAAGTTCTTATTCATGGAATCAATGGAAGCATTTTGATGATTGTATCCAACTTAAAATTCCTTCCAAAAACATTTAGTTTAATTTGTCTTGCAAACCGGGAATGGCCATCAATTACTAATTTCCTTTATCTAAATATTTTTTATTAGTTTACCCAGCGTAATTTATCGCCAGACATAGGTAAGCACTTTAAGCAAAAACAGTGATTTACGGAACCCTATTTAGCTTTAATCAGCTCTTGTAAGAAGTTTTTGCGATCTGGTCTTCTGGCCATAACTGTCCAGTCACGGGAACTAACGGCGTGTACTGTTACTGATCAGTGATCGTACGCGATGCGTATGCGCAGCTAAGTTGCTGAGATTCAATCTGTTCAGTGTTGGATAGGTTAGGGTTCTTAAGACTTCTGATTTGTCAGTAAGAATTAAGTGTAATTAAGTTGACATTAACATCAATGTGTATAAAATAAAACTACGGTTAAAAATCGACTTCAAAAACCACGAACTAAAATTATTATAACCAAAAAATAATTATTATTCATTGTACCTAGTCCTTTCCCTTAACCCCTTCTTAAACCTTCAGAAGAATAAGTACATGTACTTATAACTCTTTATCCAGATACTTCTGAACCAATTAAAATAGGTCTAGCTAGTTAAAGTCTAGTTTCAAGATCAATATTTTGAGATCAAACATTATTATGGAATGTCCTAATTTTCTAACCACGCATACATATGTACTTATAATTCGCACTGAAAAATGATCTAACTGTTCATGTTAGTGATATACTTATCAACTTCTATCACAAAATATAGTTATTACAAGTACACGCATGGCAAAAGATAGTAATTAGTATAATTAAATGATGGTACATTTATAATTAGTTAGCATTCCGTGCAATGTAATCATATAAAGACGCATGCACGCTTTGGAATGCCTGAAGACAGATGCAATACGTTATACTGTTTGCAGGCTTTCAGAATTTTACGTTACATCTGTTAAAGTTGGTGGATAGAGGTGTCATATCATGACGTCATCCCTCAAGGCTTTTTTTTTAAGGGGGGAAAATCATCGAATGACTGCTCCCGCCTGGGTGAGGCGGGAGGGAGTTCCAGACTCTTACTGACTAAAAACCACCCCGTTCCTTCTCCTGCACGTCGAGCCGGAGCCCCAGTTACCCGTTAGGTTCTCCGCGACTTCCCTCAAGGCTAAGGTTGAAACAAAGAAAGGATGAAGCCACGCAGGAGTAGCTACTTAAATACATATAATAGAGGGTGAGCCAATTGTCCTACACCAACTGTGTAACAACAGAAAAGAGCGTATTCCTCTTTAAAAGGCTGGCCACGCATCAGTGTCTCCTCTGGTGTTGCGGGTGTCCATAGGCGGCGCTGGTCGTGTACCGGTAATCCGTCTGCTCGTTTGCCTCCTATTTCATAAAAAAAACCGGGCACTAGATATTAAAATTTTGGAAAAATTTAAATAGCCTGGCCGACGTACTCATGACCAGAGTCAGAGTCAGTCAGTCAGAGGTTAAGCATTATTATACAACGTGACAATGCTGCCACCCTTCTAGGTACTTTCCTATTGACGTCGATGCGGACGAATTTTTTGATGCTCTCTGTAAATACTCATTTTTAGTTCTCTTTTGTTTAATTTTCTCCATTAGTTTTAGTGTATTTTAAATTTTACATATTTAATTTATTTATTTCTAAAAGTTAGTAATGAATAAAAGATTGATATATTGAAACAGCTCAATATTTCTCTGTCCAATTGGGGAATCTTTACCGAAAGCGTCGTTTGGCCTTTCGACCAATGAGAAGCAGTAATGTTTATGTTGTCGTAATCCAAATTAATTCTGTGTTATCTCCACAAATGCAGTAATAAGGAGTTAATTAGAGATTAACTCTTACAGATAATGATCTCTCACATCTTTATAACCGCAGTTACTGCGTCGTCTAAGTTTCAAACGTTTCCATTAATTTACATTTTGTGAATAGATTCAGCTACTGTTTTATGATCTTATGCTCGATAAAGAAACAATTTTATATTACACATTTGCTTAATATTTTTCTTTTTAAGTTATCTTGTGTTTGGTAACTAGCTTAAATCACTTGACTTACTTGACTTAATATCCTGTGTCCCCTAGATGGGGCAGAGGGCGTCCACTGAAGTTCTCCATCGCGATCTGTCTTGAGCTTTACACTTCACCTCACTCTACGTCATACCGATGCTCGTCGCTTCTGCCAGTACGGTGCGACGCCAGGTTTGTCGAGGACTGCCACGCTTTCTTTTCCCTTGGGGATTCCAATCCAAGGCTTGCTTGGGTATGTAGTCAGGAAGGATGTGGTGTGGTTAGATCACTGAGGTATAGTGTTATTTTGAAATACTTGGTAAGTTTGGTATAGGTAAAAATAATGGCAAAAATTTAGCATATGTAGCTGTCGTATGTTCTTTTCTGCATAAACATTTAGGGCTTAATAGTTCATACAGTATACGCAGGTGTGTATATTTTCTTAAATAGGATGCAACTCTAGATTTTGACTCAAACACGGTAAAAACATGAAAATATATTATAGCACTGATCATTTAACATCGGATGATCCCTCATTCGATCGTCGATCCTCATTCCGTAAACAAAATAAAATTAAATGAACAGGGTAATAAAAATTAAACTAAATTCTAATAAAACTCGAAAATAAAGTAAAATCCTAAGCGTATATCCAGTGAGACGGGTAGAGAAAGCGTTACCGAATTAATTGCGCTTATCCGCCATCTTGCGCTCATCTGCGATCTTCACGCCTGCGCCTGCGCACACTGCCGTCCTGTGACACATTTTATGTTGGTAGTTAAAATTGTTGGGTTAATAGAACATGGCATATTTTGTGAAAGGGTTAAAAGTGACTTTTATAGGTTCTTCTTCAGTTACGGGTCATTTTATCAGATAGTTAGGTTTGATACATAATAGATTAGTAGCATTTTTGTTTATCATAAGACGATAGTGGTTGTATGACAGTAAATAGCTTCATTGCAATGTTCCATCTATTTTTTTTATAATATTAAGAGATTATATAACCAATGCTACCCATATGGGTCATAACATCCCATAAATGGATGCACTTTTCGAGACAAATTTAGAAATTAGAGGTAGATGGTAAATCATTTATTCTTAAGTCATTTAACTTAATGTTATTGACATTCAAATTACATCTTATATTATTTGTATATCTATATAGAGGTATAATTATATACATATATAAATGAATCTCTTTTTTCGTTGGTCACGGCTTCACGCATGAATGGCTGGAATGATTTCACTAATTCTTTTTTGTTGTATTTGTTACTATCAGGAAAAGGTTCTTATGACAGAAAAAATCCTGAAAATCCTACGAGAACGGGAGAAAATGGGATTGTGCGTACGATCTCGCGGTTAGAAGCTACTATTATATGTATAAAGCTGAAGAGTTGTTCGTTTAAGGCTCTAATCCCTGGAACTCTGAGACTCTGATTTAAAAAAATCTTGTTGTGTTGAATAGTTCAATTAATTATCGAGGACGGTTGTCATGAAACATCACGTTACGCTCAATAGGAGCTGAGTAGAGCGAAACTGCTATATGAAACTTATTTAACAGCATATTATGACATAGTAAATAAATTATTATGTTTCGGCTTACTCACGTAATAATCGAGGAACTCGACTAGTTTCAAGCCATGCTAGAGGCTCATATTCATGAGCAGCTATTCGCGACCCCCGACGCGGCGACTGTCGCGCTGCTACTCACATTCGCCGCGTCGCGGGTCGCGAAATGCTGCAAATGTTACAATGACATAATAACTGCAATAACATCGTTTGTATTACAATGTGAAACCTATATATTGATTCAGTTTCCTAGAGCTGCACCTTTGTGTATAA